CAGCTACTTCTTGCTGTCTCTTCCATCTTTAAACTAACAGCTGCTAATGTCCCTTTGGAGCATGGCACCTGGCTTATGTCAGCTCTCCGCTGCTGCGTGCCTGAGAAAGCTCTCTGATTTTAGAGATCCTGGGATATTAAATTGGACCCATTTGCAACATTCCCCAAACCATTGATTAGTGCCTTCCTCATCACACTGCTTAAAAAATTTGTATCACATAAGGTCACATCCAAACAGGCTCCAAGTATTTGGGGTGTGGCTATCTTGAGGGGGAGCTGTTTATCCTACTTAAGAGATCATTGCTTCTACCTTCAAGCCTTAGAAACTGGCTCAGTGAGGAGAGGTAACTTTCCCAAGGGTACTCAGTGGTAACTACGGGCTTCAAATTTACTTCTATCTGATCTCACAGCCTGAGTTCTTCCTGAACCATACATGTCCCCTGAGCCTGGAATAGCTTGGCATCCCAGACTCCATTCTGAGCATGGTGGGTGGTAGCAAGTTTCTTTTGGGCTCTACCTCATCTCTCTTTTCTGCACTGTCCTTTGTGCCTGCTGTGCTTCGGAAATCCCCCATTCTAAATTCAGGACTCCCATATTCTCTCTGTACGTGTGCCAAAGCTTCCTGATTTTGGAATTACACACCCCACCCCCAACCTGCCGCGCACCACAGGCTTGTTACTGGCAACAGATTCCTTTTTTGCCTCTAGAGACCAAAAGCTAAAAGTGAGCTGTGGCTCAGGCTCTGAGTAGAGTAAGTAGATACACATTACATGTATCCTGTGTTATGTAAATTGGAGCTTAAGTATCCAATTTTAATGCAAATCAAGCTCTGAAAAAAAAAATCTAAAAGCCACATTTTCCTAAAGCCTGCTCATGTCCTAAACTGTGGATATAATTATCAAAAGTGCTTAGCTCATTTTAGAAGCACTTGGTGGGAATGAAGTATCACCAGGTCAGCAGGTGGGGAGGTTAACCAAGACACAGTATGGCTTTTACAAGGTCCTTCAGCCAATCCCTCTGCAGCCACATCTACAGTGGAAGAAGGGGCTGGATGAGGGTAGGATCGGGCTTGGTCATAGTCACCCTGGCCAAAGAGCACATGTCATTTTGGAGCTGTGAACTAAAGTCAACATTATACAGGCAAATATGTCTAAAGCACACAGAAATTCTACTGTCTAAAAAGAACAGACATGCCAGCCTCCTGCTATTGTTTATATAATCAAAGAGACCCTTCAAACAGGGCTCCACTGGATTCTATGTAAAGTATTTCAAATGATGCCTTGTGCATTGTATTGTTTGCCCCTCATCCAAGATTCATAAACACGGACTAGTATTTTATTGAAAATAGATGGTTGCTTTCATCTTGAGCATATATGTATAGCCATTTTTCTCATTATCTTTCCCTAAATCATGTAGTTTAACAACTGTTTAAGTAGTATTTATGTTCTATTATGTATTATACATAATGGAGGAACGATTTAAGTAATACAAGTGCTTGCACATAGGTTCTATGCATATTTGACACCATTTTATATAAGGGACTTGAGCATCCATAGGTTTGGGTGTGGGATGATCTTGGAACTCAAAGAGACATATGTTTCTGGATTGCCTTGCCACCCAGAAATCCTTTCCCATTCAGTCTCTCACTTTTCACACATGCATTTTGTGAGCTGTTTGAACTATTCTGGGCCTTGAGAGCCAGAAATGAGATGAACTTTCTGCTTTTGCCTTAACGGAGGCAGCAGTGGGGCAGGCACAGATAATGGGATAGCTACATACTTAGATGGCGAGTGGAAGGGTAGTATAAAGGACTCTGTGCTGAGAAAACAAGATGACAACGTGAGTGCATGGGGGAGGGGTGGTAGCAAAAAGAAAGGCAGAGGAAGTGTCCCAGCCATACAAGAGGTCGCCCAGAGCTGCAGTCTTCAGGGGTTCATTCATAGTGGTTGCATAAGGAGGTTCTGCTCTTGTAGAAGGCCCAAACAGTCTGAAATTTCAGGAGGGTCTGTCAAGGTTAGAAGTGTGGGGAGCAGCCTGGTGAACCTTGGAAGACAGACACTTCCATGGGAGAGGTGCAGGAGGGAGTCCTTGTGGACACAGACCTGGGAGGCTTGCCTCTCAGCAAGAGCACTTCGGCAGAGGCCGAAGAGTAGACGTGACAATAGCAAATAGCACTGGAGAACTACTTAGCAAAGGGTGGCCTGGATGGAGGATGTGTGTGTGTGTGTGTGTGTGTGTGTGTGTGTGTAGTGTATGTGATAATGTATCTGTATAGTGTGTGTATGTGTGTGTGTGTGTGTAGTATGTGTGTATAGAGTGTGTGTGATATTATGTATGTATGATAGTGTGTCTATGTGTCTGTCTGTGTGTGTATATGTATTGTGTGTGTGTGTGTGTATGTGATGGACTATACCCTACAGACAGGATTCCTTACTCTGGCAGGCACCTTCTTTCATCCTCTTTCATACAAAAAGCATTGCTCACACCCTCCATCCAGATAGCTGATCATCTGTCAGTCATGTGGACCACTTTAGAATTCCCACCTTCTCATACTTTGTGACCTGGTTATGCACTCCTTGCAACTGCTACCCTGTGCACATAATCACATCACGTATTTGCTTTTGGAAAAAGTATTTTATTTTTCTGGTATACAAAAATACTTTAAAAAATAAAAGAAAAGAAAAAAGAAAAAAAGATTTTTTTTGGCTATAGCATAATAGAATGTTGGGGTGCAGGGAAACAGAGTGATTGCTGTGATGGCTGTCTACACTGCTTCTCTGGTCTCCAAAATTTTGTGACGGATTATAAATGTCTTTTCCACACCTCTCAGGGACTGTTTCCCAACTGCTCTATTCAAATCAGCCGTTGGTAATACCAAACGACTCAGAAGCTGGCTGGCTGAGATTGCATCTTGATTTGAGCAGCTGTGTGTTAACGTTGCTCGGAAGGAAGGGTGCTGGTATGTCGGACCGGAATATGCCATCCTGTAAATGACAATGCTGCCTGCATCCAAATGCAACTGCTGCATCCAAGAGGGATCATCCTCACCTTGTGAAGTTCAAGAGGACAGGAAGAACCCCAGCAGACAAACTGGAAAGAACTGAGCTGTAACTTAGAAGGATTTTTCTAACAATTCCACAAAAATTCTTAACCCAGAATATGCCAGACAGTGAAAGTTTCTGAATCATTTTGAGCATTTTTAGAGCTGAGACTGGATCACTGTTGTCTATCAGAGGGCTACAGGGACTACTTATTTGGTGCCCAGGAGGAGGGCTGTAACTTCTCAGTAAAAAGTGCTGGAGTACCCAGCTTCCCCTAGGCTGGCGTAGGCAAAACCCCACGCCAGCACATCCACAATGCCTGATACATTCCACACCTGTTGGATTATGTGCTGGGAACTGGAGATTCAGATTTGTTTACTATGCATCCAGTCTGACCCTCACTTGGCAAGAGACCAATTTCCTGATAGATTTCTCCCCTATACTGCCCAGGTTGGGAGAACAGATGCTATGGGTTAGGCCAAAGTCATAAATTTGTGGGAAATAATTCTTAGTGACTGAGGAAGAAAGCCATAAAACACCCTGTGGGCAGGGGCAGAAGACAACAAAGGCCGTGGCTAGTGCCAGGCAGCTCAGTGCCAGGAGGAGCCCATGGATCACTTTTCTGACCTGTGTACTGTTCCCCAGGCCCATGCTCACATCCCTTCCAGTACCCACAGAGGAGAAGCACCCCTCACATAAGGACTCCCTCTCTTACACTGCTCTGATTGGTTTGCTCAACCAGCAGTCATTGTGGGCCTAGGCACACTGAGGAATGGAGATATTCAGGGACAAAGCAGACCATGTGTCACCTCTGATCCTACTTGCTACTGAGTTCCTCTGAGGTCTGACTTCCTGGGTAGAGACTCACACGCCCATTGCATACCACCTGTACTGGCTGGTTTTGTGTGTCAACTTGTCACAAGCTGGAGTTATTACAGAGAAAGGAGCCTCCCTTGAGGAAATGCTTCCATGAGATCCAGCTATAAGACATTTTCTCAGTTAGTGATCAAGGGTGGGAGAGCCCATTGTGAGTGGTGCCATCCCTGGGCCTTGGATTCTATAAGAAAGCAAACTGAGCAAGCCAGGGGAAGCAAGCCAGTAAGTAACATCCCTCCATGGCCTCTGCATCAGCTCCTGCTTCCTGACCTGCTTGAGTTCCAGTCCTGACTTCCTTTGGTGATGAACAGCAATGTGGAAGTGTAAGCTGAATAAACCTTTTCCTCTCCAGCTTGCTTCTTAGTCATGATGTTTTGTCCAGGAATAGAAACCAACATTCTCAGTTATCCCAAGATAGTCACAGTACCCCCAGGAAGGATTGTTTCATCAAAGCTACACTTTCCTGTCAAGGGTCAGAGGATAACTTAGTGTTACTAGATGGATGAAATGGGTTTCCATCTGAGATGTTTTCCCTGTAGCTGCAAATATCAGCCACTGCTATGGCCAGGGCAGGCCACCTATGTACAGTAGCCAAGACCTCTCGCTCCCTTGGTTCTTGTCCCACTGAAAGGTAAGGGTAAACTTTCTCTTGGTTTCTGTGGTGATTAACCCAGCACTACGAAGAGAAGGGTTTTCCTATCTCATTCCTCTGCCACGTTCTTTCCCTCCTTGGTCTTCTTCAACTCCAGATTCCTAAGTCCAGTGCTTCCAGTTCAAACCTGCATCTGGCCCCATGCACTCGACATTCATCTTGGTTTTCTTGGATTTCACATCTCACTTTTTCCCTCAAGAATCTGCTTGGACATAATTCCCTGGTACTTGGTATCTATACTTACCATGGAGAAACTCTCTTGCTATGACCATCTTCCTACAATCACCGTTCTGGGGCCCTACCCAGTCTTTCCCCTAAAGGAGTGACTCTGGCCCCCTGCCAGAACCTGGTAACTGTTCAGTTGACACAGTGGCTAAGACACAGAGTTCTTACTGAACAATATAGGTCATGACATATGAAACAGAGACTTACCAAAGTTCTCCCCACCCCAGATGTCCATGTCGACGTCATATTTACCCAAGTAATCGAACCAGGCTTTGTCAATCACAAAGAGTCCTCCAGCTATGATTGGAGTCCTGTGTGTTTGGAAGGAAGATAAGGTTGAGGATCATATAAAAAAGTAACCCCAAACTCTGTGGTTCTGGGAGTCCAGAACTCAAGGCTATTTTCTTCTCAATTCTGTCCCTCTTCAGAAGAGCCAATATATTTTTAGGCTATCTAAAACAAGGATCTGCTGCAGAGTTCTGTCCTCTGCTAAAATATTCCCTGACCTTGCAGTCAGGAAACTTCACGTATCAACACCCCTCCAAGGAGCTTTTGCCTACCCCTCCTCCTGCAGTTCTGCCCAATGAGGCTCTTGGAGCAGAGCAGGCAGGCCACTGACCAGGCAGAGAAGGGCCATGAACAGCACAGCCAGCTCCTGACCTGGGCTCACTTCCTTGATTTGAGTCTTTACTTTTCAGCTGTATCATAAATTCCTTCCCCCTACTTAAAATAAAAGTGTTACTGAAATCCTAACTCTCAGTATCTCAGAATGTGACCTTATTTGGAGACAGGAGATTACTTCTATAGAGGGGTAACTAAGTTAAAACAGGGTAATTAGGGTGGGCCAATGTGACCAGGGTTCCTATAAAGAGGAAATTTGGCCTACAAATGTGAATATACCAAGAGAAGGGTGTGGGAACTAGAGAGAAGTTGGAAATCTGTAAAGAGCAAAGAAGCCTGTTCAGGCATCAGTGGGAACGTCCCCAGGCCGGGACACCTCACCTGCTTCTAAGCCATGGCATGTGTTTCTGCCATTTAAGCTACTTGGGTACTTGTTGCTATAGCCACAACAAACTAATACACTTTCTTCTTTGTGTATCTGGTAGGGGGGTGTGCCTCCTTTAACCTACCGTGGCTCTTGTTTGCTCAGAGAGATGCCCAAAAATCTGCTCAGAAAGAGAAAATGTTCATGAGGCAGGTAGACAAGAGCAGCCAGAGCCAACCAGGTAATTCTATAAGGATTAGGACAGGTGTCAGTAAAATTAATGGCTAGGGTTATGAACACTCAGGATTGTGACCCCTGCCTTAGTGTGCTCAGAGAGCAAAGGGAGTTTTGTCTCCACAGCAAACCCAGAGGGAAGGTGAGAAGACTGAGTTTGCCTTTGCTATGACTACTTGCTGCTCCTGGAAGACTGGTCTAATCCTGGAAACACTCCCTCCCTAATTAGCAACATACACAAGAAGACCTGTCCCAAGACTTTTTCTTTCTATGGCCGGGAGAACCCAGGTAGTGCCACCTTTGATCTACTCCTCTGAAGTATCTGCATGGGCTACCTTCCCTCCCTCCATACCCAAAACCTGTCCCATGTACTGACATAGAAGAGCACAATGCTTAGCCTGGTGGGAGCCAGCTAAGGAATAAGGATTCCTTATTATTCCTTCCTCAGAGAGAAAGACAGTGTCCTAAGTGTTATCAGGTTCTATTCTCTCTCTCTCTCTCCTGGATTCATTCCAGATTCTGAATGTTGGAGACAGGAAGAGGTACTAGATGCATGAGACACAAGTCTCACTTCATAGCTGAGCTCTGTGTCTCCTCCCACCTGTCTAGTCCACCATCATTGAGCTCTTGGATACTCCTCTTATCTTCAGTTCAACCTAAGTCAATTCAATGAACGATCAAATATCTATAATGAGGAAGGGACCAGAACCATAGGCATTCTTGAATAATCTTGTGCATTCCTAAGTGACTGGATGGAGAGATTCCAGTCTACTGGCCTTGTCTGTGGTCATTCAAACAATACAGATCCCCCTGCTGCTCTCTGACGCAGAACTGTTTGAGTCTGGAGGTTCTCAAGAGGCCTTGGATGAGCTTGCTAACCGGTATCAAGTCATATTTCATATCTGAGACCACAGGCTCCTCTGTAGGATAGAAACTATGTTTTATTCTAGGACAGAACCTCTCCATTGGCTGTGAACACTAGGAAGACAGCTTGCTAGCCCAGGTGACAAAGGAACTGAGAAAGAGAATGTGAAGCAGAGCCATCTACCATATGGCCAGTTGGCTCACTTCAAGCCACCATGTTTCCATAGGACAAGCATGGATGTGTTAATACACGGTGGTGGGTGGTCATACCCTCATACCAGTGTCCATTTACAGAGTTTATAGTCTCCACAAACCCACCCTCTCTGAGCTGAATCTTGGCAACCAAGACCTTGAGCCCATGAGACATCTGTTTCCTCACCAGAGACCTAAATGTAATGATCTTGGACTCTTACATGTTAGCCCCAGGAGGTGTAAAAGCCACCATGGCCTGTGTGAAGGTAGAGTGATGGTTGCCATTCCTCAGCACAGTCTCTAGAAGCTTGTATGCAGATAGAAACCTTTTAGAAAACGGGCAGAGATGTTCTGGCTCAGGCTTCTGTTTCTGCTTTTCCACTCTTTCCAGCAAACACTCAGTATGGACCTTTCTGAGCCATGGGACAGCGGGATCAAATAGAGCTGAAGCTGCCCACCCTCCTGCAGTAGCCTTTTACTCACCGGATGGGCTCAGTAGGGTCTAGGCGCAAAGCTTTCTGCTCCAGGGAGAGTTGTTCCCACTGGAAGTGGAGGCTCCAGTCAAATCCTAAAACACAGCATTGACCCAGTTGATTCAGCTTCTCATAGAATACTCTGAGCCCCCTTATCCCGTTCCTTCTCCAGTTCCTTGGGAAACTGGTCCCTGGGAGGACAAGTTCCCCCTGGTCTGACCCTAGCAGGGCCACTAAAGTTACTTCTGAATTCCCTTTTCTCAGTCTAGCCTATAGAGTCTCTCTGGAGCTCCCTGGTAAGTAGAGAGTTAAGGAATCATGGGTAGAGGGTAAAAGCCAAGGTACATGGCACAACAGTAACATGTTGGGCAGTTGTGGAACAAAAATTATAGGTCCGAGTCTCAGGAAGGAGTAATTGGGGGTTTGGGTGCAAACTACCTTGAAGTTAGTATTGGGTGGAAGTAAACTGTGCTCTAGGCAGAGATCAGGGGAGAAATATCTCTGGGAGAGGGTGATGAAATGCCAAGATGGCAGACCAACACAACCCAGGAGTCCTTGCTTCCTCTACTTCCTCATGTCTAGTGGTAAGCCCCAGATCAGCTAGAGCTCTGGATGCTGGGATGTCTGGCTTATATTTACATAAGTTCCCTGAAGGAAATGTCCCAAGTGAACTTTCCCAAGAAAACTGGTCAAGCTAAACTGAATTTTATTACAAGATAAAGACATGGACATGCCAGACAACCAGGAGGTCTTCCTTCATTTTTCCCACTTTAAGATGAGGTGAAGGAGAAAGAGAAGGAAAAGGAAGAAGAGGAATAATAGGAAGAGAAAGCCTGAGAAAAAAGAGGAGAAACAAGAGAATGAGGAGGAGGAAGAAGAAAGAGATGTAGGGGAGGAGGGAAGAATTATTGGCTCACTTACCCCCTCTGAGCTCTGAGGCAGATTCAATATAGTTAAAGGTGTCCAGGTTAATGATGTCAATCACAGGGCACACAACCCTTGTGTAGTCCTGTAAAACCAAAACCTCTATTCAGTTTTCAGAGAGGACATGCTGACTGGGAGTCAGGGAACTTGGGAAGCTTGGGGTGTAATCAACTAGTGACCTACTCTGTAGTCTTATGAAGCAAATCCAGGCATCCCCAAAGGGAACCTGGGTTTCTAAATTCTTCCCCCCCGAGGCCTATGGTTCTTAGACAAGCTAATGAATAGCAGTTCCCTGCACTCAGATACATATGTATATTTCCAGTCCTGAATTCCAGCCTACCTATCAGCTCAGTATGCCACAGGCTACTTCTATGTGCACATTCACTCAGCTCTTCAACAGTGGCTTCATCATCTACCAACACACACTCATTCCTTCAAGTTTTGGTTTCTATTAACAGACCATCCCATATCCTCTTCCTCTAGCACTGAATTAAGATTTACTCTGTCCATCAACCAAACCAGGTTCTGGTTCTGACCCTAAGGCAATGTCTCTCGCCCTTCCTAATGCTGAGACCTTTTTTAAATATGGTTCCTCATGTTGTAGTGAACCCCAGCCATAAAATCATTTTCATTGCTACCTCATAACTGTAATTTTGCTACTCTTAGGAATCATAATGTAAATAGTTGATATGGAGGGTATCTGATATGTGACCCTCAAAGAAGTTGAGACCCACAGTTTCAGAACCACGACTTTAATTCCTCTGAATCCACACTGACTCTTACATAGAGAACTGCAATGGACCTCTAAGCCCCTCCCCATCTCTGTTTCCTTTCCTTCTGTGTATGGCTGCCTATGCTCCTTCTGCTGTGATAATCTGGTCATGCTACTCAATTAATTGCCCAATACTTTAATCACCTCTAATATAAAGTACATTTCTTAATATATTCTCTAAGGCCATCCAAACCTGCTTCCACATATGAGTATGAACATAAGGTGTTTTTTGTTTGTTTGTTTGTTTTTGTTTTGGGGGGTAGTTAGCAGAACAGACATCACTAGAGGCTGGGAGGGTAGTCAGGGAGGGAGCACATAGAGATAATTGATAACAGGCACCAAAATTCCATGAATGGAGGCATAAATCCTACAGTTCTCCAGCACAGAGAAGATAGAAATTTTAATAATTTATTATATATTTCAAACTGATTTTGAATATTCTCAACACAAAGAAATGATCAATGTTTAAGGTGACAGAATGCTAATTAGCCTAATTTGATCACTACTCTTTGCATATCTATATGGAAATGTTACCCAGTACCCCATACCCTAGTACCCCGTGAATATGTAGAAGTATTGTGTCAATTAAAATAAACGTCATGCATTTTGCTTTGCAATCTCATCACTTAACCTTTCCCAGCTTGTATCTATCAAAGCCATTAGATGACAGGGTCAGAGAGATGGCTCAGTGATTAATAATGCTTCCAACTCTTCCAAGAGGACTTGGGTTTAGTTCCCAGTACCCACATCAGGAGATTTACAAACACCTATAACTGTGGCTCCAGAGGATCTGACGCCTCTGGCCTTTATGGGCACCTGCACACATGTGTATGTGCACATACACACATATAGATGCACACATACACAAAATTAAAGATAAAATAATGTCTAAAGAATGATCTAAGGGATATTTTCAAAATAACCAAAACCACATCTTCAGTTTGTGGAGGCTACCAAACCTATGAAGTTTGTCCATTGTAGGGAAGTATACAACAGGGATATCAGCCCCAACAGTGGTAAGCAAGCTGGGAACAGATGACTCTTGGATCTCACATTGAGAGTCAAGTGGCCTGCAGAGGCTAGCTCATCTCAAGGAAGCTATCCTCTAGACCCACCGTCCTTGGGCTAGCTCAGGCTTTGGAAACTTCTGCTTCTTCTTGAAGCCCTTTAATTTCCAGGTTCAATTTTTCTCCTCCAAATGAGGTTATCTTCTTATTTTAAACTCCAGAATCACCGAGCACTTGAATCTAAGTTCACAGACTTAATTTGGCCCTGAGCCTCCCACAGCCAACTCACTCTGACAGTAACAAGGTGCTGCCGAAAACCGATCAGCCCAGGTGGCAAGGAGTGCTTACTGCCCTGGCACTGCTTCTGCTGCAGGGATGCTGTGAAATCATCAGCTGTCAGCACTGCACCTGCCTGGGTGGCACAGTCTCTTTGGGGTTACCCTGCAGCCATTGATGTGTGTCTGAACACAATACTCATATCACTTTCTTTTTAAAATAAAATCAAAAGTTCAGAGACATATTCTGCAAGTCTGACAAAGTCTTCATTTTCTTTTTCCCTCCTGTTTTCAGGGACTTCTGCAGCTGCACAGATTCCTTCAGTAACTCATGCACAGTAAAGGATTTAAACATGCTCAGAGGCATGTCTAGTCTGTGCCCAGCTGTTCCTGATGGCCTTTAAGCCCTTGGAACATCCTGCCTAGAAGACAGCTGTCATTTACCTGGGAGGCTTGGACTACATTAGATACTCTGTGCTAACAGTGTGATGTATGGGAAAAGGTTCATCCCATGAAGTACCAACTTGATCTCTGTAGCCTCATGGTGACCATGAAGACCATGAAGGTCAGGCTCATGGATGAGACTGAAGGCCAGTTAGAGCCCTGGACACCAATGCACAGGTGAATGTCTCTGGTTGCCACACTCCCCTCCCTGACCCTGGGCTGTTTGTCATAGGTTCTTCCAGAAGAAGCAAATACTGTCTCTGGAACCCTTCTGGGAGAGGAGAGCTAAATAACTGTGATGGAATTTTCCACAGGGTCCTTCTTCCTGTTGCTGGTAACCTGTTTTCTTCCACTGTAATCAATGATAAACACAAGTAGGTAAGCTTTGTTGACTTGTAAATCCTTGCATTGAGCCCAAGAATGGTCTTGAGGACTCTTAGTCTGTAATAAACCTGTTTTGTTTTAGTGGAAGTGAAACTCCTTTCCCTATTTAAAAATCAAAATGGAAAACCAAGTCTAGAAACTTTAGCCTCAGCCTCCACACGGAGACGTCTCCACAGCTGTGACGGGTTCCCCTGTCAGGAAACAAGCACTCTCCTACCCACTGAGGACTTGGATCTTGGGCTTCCCATCACACCTCAACTATGATATCTGGTCTGTGGAGGACAGACAGGCAATAAGGGCTGTTTGGGATGGAGCCAAGTGCTATGTGGGGCTATTACCTTGAGAGAGGCTGCAAAAATCTTTGTGAATGAGTCACCAAAATCAGAACACGAGTTATCTGTGTGAAAGGATTGATATCCACTCTCTGGTGTGTCCCTCAGGTCTAGTCCAGAGCCTGGCAGGCAGCAGATGTTCAATGGAATTGGTTAAAGGAGAGACTATCAGTCGCTCAGAGGATAATATATAGGTGATGGCCAGGAGCCTATGGGCTGCTTATGGCTTAACAGGATAGCTTCTCAAGCTATAGGCCCAGTGATGGAGAGAGTGTCAATACAATACCCAGAGTCATCGGACTCTGTTGTCCGCCTCTCAAAGGGTATAACTTGAGTTAGGTTCAGGCTTGAGCATAAGCAAGCAGCTGGTGAAATCTTGGGCTGATCCCGGACTATTCCCTAGCCCCCATTTCCTTTCCTACCTTGAAAATCCAAGCCTATTCCCACTCCTCCTTCTGCCCCAGCTGTATGTCTCCTGCCTACCCCCCTCTAACCAGGAGAAAGGAGGTTGAGAGCACCCGACGGTAGCCATCAGTTATGGTTGTTGTCATACCTCATGTTCCCTCACTGATTCACATAATTAAAGCATACTGTGAATGGGAAATCAGAAACTTCTAGAAGCACTCTCTCCGGGAGTCACCAGAACTCCTGAGTCTTCCCCTGGTATAGGAGTTGTGGGGAGACAAAGATGAGTAAGGAGACGCCACAGTCTAGGAAAGACGAGTGGAGTGTGGAGTGATTTGATTCAGGGTCTAGAAACAGTCTAGGGGGTGTCCCAGCTGGCCTTGGCGGAGGTGTGATATATTAGTTATGTTTTCCTCCTTATGATCAAATACTTGTCAAGCAGCAACTGAAGAAAAGGAAGGATCTATTTAGGCTCTGTGCAGCAAGGAAGGCACTGCATGGTACCAGAAGCTCCCGTGGAAGCCAGAGTGTGAGGCTGCTTGCTTCTATCTCCCTAGATGAGAAAGCAAAGAGAGATCAATAGGAATACAAGAAGGCCACAGCCCTTAAGATTCACCCTCAGAAACCCACTTCCTCCTGCTAGACGCCACCTCCCACTAGCTCCAGAACCTTGCACATCAGTACCACCAGCTGGGTACCAAATATTCAAATACATAAGCTGACAGAGGGAAGAGGATCAGTTTACATCCATATTATTCATTTTCAAGAAGCTGAGGGTGGGGGTCATTACGGAGGTGCTGTTGGGGTTGGGGATGTATCTGTTGACAAAATATTTCTATTTGAGTTCTGTCATGTAGAAATGTGTATGACCTCTTTAGATTGGTATATTCTGTGGGATCCTGTTTGTAAATCTGTGAAGTGAAGACAAGTTGCCATTATTTGTAAACAGATCCTGTCTTTTTAATAGAGCCTGAGTAAGGAAGCAAGAGAGGAAACACATGCAAAGGTGTTGAAGGATACATAAACCATTACTTATATGCATTGCCGACTGTTGAAAGGATTGAGAATTCTTGAAATCTCCTTCCCATCAAAGAAATACATAGGAGGTGGAAGAAAGAAGCTTATGTACACACACACACACACACACACACACACACACACTCCCCAGAAACCAGCTTGGTGAGTGTTTCCAGTATCAAGTAATTAGAAGGAAGAGGAGGGGAATTCGGAGGTGTTACAGCTGAGGATGGCAGAGGAGACCCCAAGCCCAACTCCTTTCTTATTTTGATCTATTTTTGAAAATCTCCATCTCCAATAATGGCTTAAAGTTTTCCCGTTTCCACTCATAAGATCAGACCACATTCTGTGTGGAGACAAGGCACATACAAAGAAACCCAGAAACACAGCTGGAAAGCTTACACATTCTCTATCCCTGGGAGGCTGTCCCAGGGCCTGCCAGCCCCATAGCACCAAGAGGCAGGGCTTTCAGCATAAACTTAGAGGCCCACAGAGGACTCTCTAGGCTGATCCTGGAGCCTGTCTCACTAATCTCCTCACTGTGAAAGGTTGAGCTCAGAAGGGGATAGGGACCAAGGAGCTAAGCTCCATCATGGGGACAAATGACTCCCAGAGGAGTGTTTGGCTGCAGGAAGTCAAACTCCCATTTGAGAAAGCAAAGAAGACAACCAGCCTGTAGGTAAGGCTGGTTGCAGATCAGGAAATGAGAGCATCTCTCAGGGAGTTCTTCCAGATGGACTCAGAGCCATTGGGATAGAAAGGGCTTCAGACTCAGTAAGGCTGAACTTCCTTAAATCCCCGATAAGACTGGTTATCTACTAAAGACTAGCGTAAGATTGGGCACATCTGTATTTTTATCACATGTGAAAGAGGAGCTCATGAGGTTCCACCTCTCACTGTTAGTCTACAGCCAGCTAATGAGTATTGGGGGAGGGGCTGAAATTCATTTTCCCTTTAGTGTAGCCACTGGTAAATTGCCT